TTCACATTCTGTCTCTCACAGTTGAAGTGTACCTCTGGTGCAAATTACTGACCTCTGTCATCATTTTAAGTGGGGGAACTTGCACAATCGGTAGCTGACTAAATACTTTTTTGCCCCACTGTATCAGAATTTCAGGAGCAGGACCACGCTTCCAAACACGCTCCTTCCGGCTGTCATCTATATAGGCTCCCCTAGTTCTGCAAGCTGATCGTTCACGTTTACGTGCCCCACCCTCCCTCCCTTCGTCTCCATTCTTCAACTGCTTCACTTCTATTTAGTAAATGTGAATCTGCCAGGCCCGGGAGCCATCGCCAGTCCCCTTTTGAGCCCTTCCCCAAACCGCAGCTCATTTCATGTTAAAGCATCACTTTTTCCTACTAAAACGCTGTCAAACAGAAATGCGGATGTGGGCCCAGCTAGTGAATTAAGAGCTGTGAGCTCTTCCAAGATATTTCCCATATTTTCGTTCAGTAAGAACAGTCTGAGCTCTCACCACTCTTCCCACACTTTCGATCATAGTTGCAAGCCAGGTGGGTTTTCAACAGTAGTTACAGCTTTCTTTGATTTCTTATAAGGCAGGGCCAAGCCAGCTCCAAGCAGGAAGAACCCCGTTATCATGGTGCCGAATAGGTAGATGTCTTCAGTATCCTTGATAGACAGTCCCGCCAGGAACACAACGCGTCACTTCTGACACCCGTTCATCATGTATCCAGCAGGGAACATCCCTCCAGGATACTCAGGCGCTCCTGCACCTAGGCTTCTTGTCAATAATAGAGTGTCAATTGCATATTGACCAGTTGATCAAATCCATAGTTCTTTAGATTTTAGAGAACAATAGCGAGACTGAGAGGCTCTGTCAGCGTTGAAAACACCATGAAGACCAACTGCAGGTCTGAACTGACTCTTTATCTTTACTCAGGAGTCGAGGAAACACAGCAGGCAGTGAAAAGATCAAATCATTCACTCGATATATCAACACAGCTGTTTGTGTGTTTGTCAGCTGTTTGTGTGGAGTTGTTCTTTATGTTCACCTCAAATCAACCTGAGTGTCATTTCTCTTCAGTTCTGATCTCACTGCTGAGCTGCACAACAAACCAAGGTCAGTAACCTTCTTCTGTCACAGTTTAAATCTGAGAAATGCTCACTGATATGACCTGATTGGGTTCATGTTTCACAGTGTAGCGCACATATAAAGTGATGAAATGAGGATTCTGCAAAACATTGATTTTACCATTTTATCACATATAAAATTATAAGTTTTTCATTTTAACCCTCACAGCTCGTCTGACTGTGAGTCCCAGCAGCTCTCAGTTCTTTAAA